CCAAAATCCAAGAGAGCAGTAGAGTGTTGTATCACGTAACTAAGTTAATTAATTTGGTGATGGATGGTCTACCGGAGCTTTCAACCACAGATAATGTAACTTTATACGGTTAAAGAGGCTTAACTGCCTCAAATAAGATGTCAAACATACATTGAAGGAGAAAGAAGCTCACCTTTGATATCTATCTTTCTTAATTTCCATCCTGGGAAGATATATCGCCCAAATATCATATAGATGTTTATGTTATTACCTTCTCTAACTCTTGTTTTTTAACATCTGTACTGGAGGTGGATGTGTAAAACGAAAAAAGGTCCAAAAGAAAATGAATCATGCGCAGAATGTTGATATTTTTAAGGTCGCACACAGCCCTTAGGAAAAAATTCCCACCAACAACTATAATTAATCATTAAGTCGTCATCACTTTGTCATTTACAGTTGATAAGCATTAATTTTATCTTAGTTTAAATGTGGTAGTCTATAGAAACACACAACTTAATATCCTACCAGATACCTCTAGACTACAGTAATATAAGTTTGTTGTTTTGAATTTATGTTGTTATCTTTGATTTTGTTCTCTAAATTTTCACATAGATTTTCAAGTTATTAAATCAATCCATGAACACAAACACTCTATTTCTTCCTTGGTCTTCCGTAATTCGGAGCAACGGTCGTAAATCTAGATTTTAATATTCTAATTTACTCTGATGAAACTGCGCTGAAGAAACCACCGTTTAGCTCTAAGAGTTTCTGTCAGGTACTTTTCCAGTCTTCATTTGGTCTTATATGCCAGGGACTCTGAAACCCCTTCTTTTTACTTCGTTTCTTTCCACTATTTCACAGCCTCACGCCATTCCTATTTCTTCGTTTATTGTTGCATGCCTCATGACATTGGGACACGATGACATTAAGCTGTCGAAATAACTGTTAATTTGGTCCCGGTAGTTATCAGTTTGTCTGGTATCTCCAATCTCATATTTAGTTTTTATTTATAGATCTAGCTTTTATCCTCACTTCTTTAGCTTAGATACAAATAAACAGACAGCAGTGATAGTTGTTTTTAAGAATTATAACTATCCCATGAGTCACTGCTCTACTCTACATCACATTATTGTTTCCTGCCTTCTAAATAACTCCTGTATAATGCATTATTATTATCTGAACCTCGTGTAATTCAGCAATCTATTTAGTGGGGGAAAACAATTATAATTAAAAACATAAGCATAAAAAATAATTGATGAGTTTCTTTCCCGTAGACTTTTGAACAAAGTGAACGCTCTCGTTTGGTTTAATGTATGGGTGTACATGATAATTTACAAAATAGAACTAGTCCATGTAAACAATTGTAAGACTCTCTCCAATCGACATAACAATAGATATATTCTAACTATTGTACAATACTGTTTTAGGAAGATAAAATAATTAAACAAGCTATAAAATTAGGATGCACGAATATTCAAGCCTCCAACACTTCATAGAATTTATAGGGTTAAGCAAATATTAACATAAATATGGATCAGTATTAGTTCATTTCAAACAACAAACTTGAGAGAGTGCTTGATTTGTGGAATATGGTTGTTTTAAAATATTTACACTGAATATGGCAGTAGTATTTTGGAGGCATTATGAGGTCTTGACTTGTTACTCGTTTTCATAAGAATAATTATCCACTTAAATTGAAAGATAACATTGTATTATCTAATCATAGAATAGTCTGGATTTGATCAATGTTTTACATAACCTTTTTTACGTATTGAAAAGAAATCCACTACGGAGTTACAGATTTAACAACATTTGTACTTTATTTATAACTTAAACTGAAGTTGAGAAAACATATAGATTTTTTAATAAATCCAGTCCAGTAACATGTGCTAACGCACCTTCCAAAGTGCATAATAACGCCTACTGTAATATCAATTTTCTTAATTATAAAAGCTTTTTTAGAGATGGATTTATAGCGAATTAGCCGTTGACACTTTGTAAGCCCATAAGACCTGAAGATAGAACTTTTTGACAAATTACATGCCCATTTTCATGTCACAAAATATTAAAAATACAATACCGCCTTGCTAGTGTGTTAACATTTATATAACTAATTTTGAAAAGTAATAGGGTTTGGTAGAATTGTACATCAATTTAATTGAAAGGAATTTTAAGTGGGGATTTCAGTTAATAACTTGCTAGGCCCAGTGTGTGTGTGTAATTCATCTTCAGCTGGTTTAATAAAACATTCGAATACTGGTTGAATACAGTGCATTAAAATATACTGTCACAGACATAATCTAAGCAAGAAAGATTTATATTTGTCATTAACTTGTTGGGACAATTGACTCTATAGGAACAGAGACAGAGAAGTACAGAATTGCTTTTCAAGTCATTTCTGCAAGTATACCATGTATAATTCTGATTAATGTTTTATTCCCAGTGAAATGTAAATTAGAATTGATCACGTCTTCTCCAAATGATATACCATTAAGCATGCACATGACTTTACCTAGTAACTGTTGAGTATTAGTAAAAAAAACAAAAAAACACTCCTATAGTTTATAAACTGAAAGAAGTCCTAATTCATGGTGTTTTTGTTATGTCTAGTTTACTGAAAGAATGGGAAAAAACTTAACCATAAAATTAACTAACGTTTCGGTTTTTAGGTTCTTCTCTAGTGCTTAAACACGTTTAGAAGTATTTGTAAATTTAATATAAATACTTCATACTAATTTAGATACTAGATTTTAATAAATTTGTTAGATATATATATATATATATAAGCTGTTTTGTTTGGTTTTTAAATAATTCGTGATTTATGAGATAAGCCTATAGAAGATTGACCAGCAGACCAGTGCTAAACCAATGAAGCTGAAGATACGAATAAATTCATCAATTTTCTTTCTCACATTTTATCTTTATAGTAGCATTTTATTATAATCAAATATTTTATTATTATAAAGATAATGCATCTGAAATATTAAGGCTAGCTGAGTTCGATTCCCTGTAGGGCTAATATATATATATAACCTTGGTCAAATGTATATCTCAACTACAATTTATTTTTGGTGAAAATCACGCACTAATATTCTAACTAAACTTTATTGAGCTACATATCTAAAAAAAGGGCATTTTAAAAATTATGAAATAAATTTTAAGTATTTCGGTTAAATGTGGATCTTTCCTATAATGTAACACAAACTTCATAAAAGTTAACCTTCGATTCTTTGTCATTTTTCAGCGGCAACCCTTAGTAACGATAATACTCAAACACAAGGCTATAGTACAATGCTAATATTAGGCTAAAGCCTTAGAAAATTATAAAATTATGCCGTATTTACAGATAATGACGACATGTATGGTGGCACGCAAAAGTAGAGACAAATATTATTCAAACTTTTATACATCTTCTAAATGAGGTCGAGGACTAATATACCTCAAGTTTTATAACGTCATATTACATGGTTTAACTTTGATCAGAACAAGGAAATCAGAAAAAGATCGCTTTCGTGAGACTTTAAATACACCTATGTAAACACATATTAACAACATAACTCTTTTACACTACTAAACTGAATCTTAATGTACTGGCAAGCTAATAAGAGGAAATTTCCTTATGCTAAATTTGGAAAACAACAGTCATCGAGAAGATTATTTATAACTTACTTAAAGCGATGCCAAGAAAAACTTAACCCGATTGTCTGCATTGTTCTTTTCTTGTTATTTTGTTAGTTTTCTTTCATTATTCTTTATATAATGTATATTTATTTCGTTTGATTAATTTCTTTCTTTGATAAGACAGCTGAGAAATGAATATAGATATAGATATATTTAATGTTAGGTTTAGTCAAAACTGCAGTAACGCTTATGGCATATGCATCAGATAAGTTGTTTTATTTTAATACACTTCTAATGGCCGGTGCAAAATGTGAGGATCCTCTTTGTGGTATTGTTTTTCTGAAAACATATAATCTATAACAAAGAAATAAACATATTTTTGATTCATATAACATTCAGTTTATTTCACAAAGCGACTCCTTTTTTCAAAGTTGGTTGTATGCTGACTTCGGAATGCTAAATTTGTTAACAGTGGTATAAGCAGCGGCTGAATACCATTAGCTTCATCCACTGATCGGAAATACATACACAATACTTTAATAATCTACAGTTATTGAAAACATAATTTAACTATGTTTATCGAAAATAGTTATCATCAATAATTAATAAACATGAAGTTTTGTTAAAGCAGTTTAATGGCTTCGGTATCTAATATTAATAATACATTTATTTGTGCGTAAAATAAAGTTATATTGTAAAGGTACATCTAGGTTAACTATATCTTAATGATCAATTATTTAACCATACCAGCTAATAAAGAAAAGTATACATTCCACTAGTACTCGGTATAATCGTTCGGTTCATTTGGAGATTTAGGGAAAATTGACAACTTTCTTAAATTAACAAAATATGGATTTGTACTAACATTTTTCATCAACTAACAGCTCATCCAGAAAACAAGCAAACTCCTCTGACTCTAATTCAGCAACGTCATCATAACAGCATTTTGAGAAAAAGGAAAATATATGTCCTCGTGGGTGGTAAAAATGTGCAAATACTAAAGTAACTTTAGCTCAGGTACATCCTACGCTTCGCAAGGTCCCATCAATTAGCCTCACAAGTATAGCACAAAATAATCCTCTCTTGTAAATATCAAAAATTTATATTTCTTCCATTAAAAATTCGAGGATTGAAATTCGATTATAATTATTTCATTAGATGTAACCATTTTAAAGGCATTGATTTTGTTAAATAGTACAACATCTTAAGAATAGTTCTTACAATAAATTGATGTATATATTGTTAAAAACCTGTAGCATGGTTTTGCGAATTTATTCCTTGAACTATAATACAACACGGTTGAATATTTTATGCTGACTTACAGGCTTATATTATACAATGAGTTGAAAAGATGGAAATAACACAATTTAACATCAAAATAATAAATTCAAGGACAGATGTTTTAACGTTCGCTTTCTTTTATTTCAAAGATAAGAATTGGTTAACGTCCTTATAAAAATTAGTGAAATACCAAAATCATGCTCAACGAATAAGTTTTCTTTGAGCATACTAAATTGTTAAACAAACGAAAAATATAAGAAATGATTATTCTCGCTACAAAACATTCACAATGATTAATGTCACCATACAGATGTTGAACTCACAACAAAATTATTGGGTCTACAAACTCATTGAATGGTTTAACTCACTACAAAACTCGCTGGATTGTTAGGATAAGAACACAGTTTACTGAATAAACAATTTTAATACAAAACTTTCTGAGTAGTTAAGGCTGACTGAAATTAACTTAGAAAAAAAGTTCAATTTATTACGACACTTCCTAAGTGTCACTACAAAAGTTACTGGTCAAACTCACTACAAAACTCTCTCTCTATGACTCCATTACTAAAACGTTACTGAATGGTTAATCTCTCCACTAAATTTACTGATTGGATAAACTCTCCACAACACTTATTGGATGCTTAAACGCGCTACAAAAATTAGTGAACGGTTAAATTCCAATGAAATCTATAGTATGTTTTAAACAACAAACAAATTAGTGAATGCTCAAACTCACTACGAGGGCTTACTAAAGTTTAATTTCACTGCAAAACTTACTGAATGGTTAAACTCATTATAAATTATATCGAATAGTTAAGTACGATACAATCTTAATAATATAGAAAAAAACACCTCAGCTATATCAACAAATATTTCTTTAATTGGAAGTTTCGTAACTTACAAATTCACTTATCGACGAGTTGTAATGGAAATAAATTAAAAAGTATCCTTATCTAAGGTTCGTTAGAAAATGATCAAAGAAAGTTTACCATTTACAGACTATTATCAATCCTAAACAGTAACCTAAATTCTTTCCCCTATCATTTTTTTATTTAAAATTCGTCTGTTACACCCAATTATAAGTGTAAGTAGTTTTACATTTAATTGTCCTAAATTACAGATCTTAACACATATCAATATTTATGTTACATAAATTACTATTCCTCTTTTTTATATCACACTTTTAATTTATTTCTATGACATTTTGCTAACGATAGAATTTGCAACTTCCGGTACGTCCGATTAAATAGTTTTTTGTTGATATAGCCGTGGTATGTTTGTTTATTATTAAACTTTGGTGCCAAGCTCGATCACTAAAAAATTGAATAAAAAAATTATGAACAATTAACTTCTCTAAAAGACTTGATGAAGGATTAAGCTCACTTCAAGACGTCCTAAAAATCTGAGCTTGATAAAATTCTTACAGAAATGTTAAAATCACTACAAAAATTCATTGGATGATCAAACCCATCATATAACACACCAAATCATTAAATTCTCTGCACAACTTAGTGAATGATTAAAGTCACTGCTAAACTTATTGAATGGTTCAACACAATGCACAATTTACTGAATGATTAATGTCACTACTAAATTACTGAATGTTTGAGATTGCAAAAACAGCCTGAATCATTAAGATCACCACAAAACTTACTGAACTGCTTTAAAGCACTACAAAATACACTGAGTTATTAAACTCGGTAAGAAACTTATTACTTATGTTTACCACAAAACACTATATATTAAAACCATACGGTGGTTTACAAAAATACTATGTTAGCATACAGATGGTTTGCATCTATATTTTAGATTCGGTTTTCATTTTGCACAAGAATAAATAACAAAAACCTGTCATCTTCAGATACAATCAGATGAAACTTCTTTATTTCATTAGATCCTGCTTTTTTTACCTGTGAATCTCAGTATCTGTAAAAATAAGATCCAGAAATTATAAAATATTACTTTACATATATTTTGCATTAACAATAAAGGTTAAATAATAAGAACAGTTTCAGAGATCTTACTTGGGAATTTAAACAAAGAATAATAAGTCATGTTTTATTCAGTGACATATATGTAACCCATCATTCATTACACGTTAAAGTATACATTAAAACAGTGCGTTGAATGGTATAAAAACCAATTCGCTCATAAAAAAAAATATTTGCATATTACTGGCAATTTTTCATTTATTTCATTTTTCTTCATCGCCTGAATTCAGTAAATATCATTGGTACTTTCAACGTAAAAGGGACTTTATGCGACACATGTGATAAATGGCCAGGTCAGAGACCCCGAGGTTTTACTTATAGTTGTCCCCGGTTTTGAACTATTCAACATGTAGAAAGTAACCATTCATCAGCGCTCGCTGCCAAAAGGGCATTGTCCGACTTTGAACCGAATAATGATAATGACTGTCACTTTTATAACACACCGCTGAAACGGCGGAGTGTGTTCACTACTATTGCGGCGTTAATTTTGATCCTTTTGTTCTGGACACGCTCAACACTAGACCATTCCTTGCCCCCCATTAAATATAATTTGGGATTTTTTCGAATGTAATACACTTATTCGTAATATCTATTTAATGGTTTCACCTATTCTAAAGTATTAACGTCAAAACTAACAAATGATCTCTCTCTTGTTTATCTAATTTGAGACTTACGTCAATAGCTAAAGATCCAAGTAATCATGTATTGGGTTTCAAAAGATTACTTACTTCACTCATTAAATATATTAAAAATTATACATCCCAACTACTCTCCTTTCCATATATTTTGATGTTTTTAATACAGCGGTAATTATATATAAATAACCTAGAGAGAAAAATTTAAATACAAGTGCGTTTGCGTTGTTTATCATTGAGAGAAAACTTCATAATGGGAAGCTTACTGAACACTCTGTGTTACAGTTTCGATTTGAGTGGATGTCCTTGTGTTACTAAACTGTATCCTGTCCATACCACAACTGTGAACAATATCAAAGCAGCGTGAAAAAATAAATGGTTACATTTAAGAAAATGTAAAATTTTGTGCAAATAAATACTTTATTTTTTAAACCATTTGAAACGATTTGGTCAAATCAAACAATAATTATATAGCCATCATGACGTAAAGAAATAAGCAGTTTCAGGATCTGCTCCGTGCTCTACTTAAGAATAAACGTAAATTCAGGGCATTCTCATAGATCCTGCCCCCCAGTGGCACAGCGGTATGTTTGCGGACTTACAACGCTAGAAACCGGGTTTCGTTACCCGTGGTGGGCAGAGCACAGATAGCCCTTGTGTAGCTTTGTGCATAATTAAAAACAAACAAACAAACTCATAGATCCCCTATTGATGAAATTGGTGCTCTAATCGTTGAAAGTGAGAACGTAAGAACAGTTTATTTCATTATCTATACTCTTTACCGAATTGGTTTTCGTTTTTATTTTTGATCTAAGTAAGTAGCTTTCCCTGATCGAAAGTTAATATTAGTAACTGTTAGAGTAGGTGGGCCTATATGATAAGCAAACATATAAGTACATGTACATGAAATAACCAGTAATTTCTGATAAAATTTTTATGTTTCAAAATCAGATGTGGTTCATGTAATGTTTCGTGACTGTCACAATGGTTAGGAACTCCATTTTAACGGATAGATCTGTAGCGTATCAAATCAATACTTTGAATTGTTTGGTGCAAAAATGTCGTCCGAATAAACATGCCATTATAATCTACAGATAATCGAATATGAATATTGACACAAGTTGTCGAAGTCATTTTGGTTTCACATTTGTTCCACTTTCATAAACTGTTGATGTTCTCTGAGCATCTTGAATACACATTCAGCACATTCCATGATTTATGATTACTGCATTTTTTATAGGTATAGTTCAAGTCTTTTTGTATGTAGCTCATACTTTCTGCTAACATTATTTCCATTCCATGTGTAGCTAGATTTTTATAAGTATTTTTGGCTCCAATTATTGCCAGATTTTTTTCGCACACTGCCATTTGTAGCTTCGGTTGTCCAAAATATATGTTAAGACTTTCAAGTTTATTCTTCCATTGTAGCCCCCCCCCCCCCAGTGTCACAGCGGTATGTCTGTGGACTTACAACGCTAGAATCCGGGTTTCGATACCCGTGGTGGGCAGAGAACAGATAGCCCATTGTGTAGCTTTGTGCTTAATTTCAAACAAGTATTTTACTGTATACCTCAATTTTCCCGAGTATGTTTGTTCTATGTTATAGCTTTACTTTCTGACCTCTATATTTCCATTTCATGGCGTAGACTGAGTTTAAGACCACTCTATTTCCTTCCATGTTGTAACATGAGTTTCAGTTCAGAGTATTTGTCTTTCATGTTGTTGGTTGAGTTTTAAATCATTGTATTTCCCTTCCATATTGTAACTTGAGTTTCAAATCATCATATTTTCCTTCAACGCTGTAGCTTCCGATCATTCTATTTTCCTTCCATATTGTAGCTTGAGTCTCAAGTCACTGTTTTCAGGTCATTCACCAATATTTTTCCTCCATTTGTAGCTCTAGTTTTCTAACTTGTTTATTCCATTTCTGTGTGTTGATTATATTAGCATTGGGATTTAATCCAAGTTTTTCTGAGGTTTAAAAATATTATAAGAAGATTATTTTGTTTACGTGATCCATACTTTCGACTGCTATAAAATTGCAATATAAGCTTATAATTTAATGAACTACTTATCTGAAATATTTTATTATAATCATATAGTAAAATTTAAATAGAAATGCGTTTATGTTGTTGAGCGTAAATTTCATTATATCCCGTAAAGTTTCTATCCACGTATCTGTCAGTACGGTAATTCAACGGGAAAGAGGAACTTTATATGCATGTACGCAACACTATAAGTATATATATCACATCTTCTGTAAATGCGGACACACCCATACATATATTTATATGTCTGTTCTTATATTTCAATCAGGAAACTAGATTTTAACTCTGATTAACTTATTATCAGCCCACTGTACGACTTTAATTTCAGTCCTACGTAATGAACAAGTCCACCTAGTAAGCGAACTATATAACATATATGCATGACTAATATCAATATGGATTATATACTCAAAAATGCACTCACACAAACATATATAGAGTGCATGTTAGAAAATCCATAAGCTAGCCTTAGCGACAGAACACGTCCCCAGTATGAACTCTAAAAACAGAAAAATACAAGATCACTCTGATCCCAGATTTAGTTTTAACAGTTATTCGCTAGATACCAGAAGAAACGTTTCAGTTAATATTATCTGCAATAGAACATAAAATCTGAACAGGTTACGACAATTATTATCAGTCTAGAGTTTACTCCATGTCTCACTTGAAATTTTATGACATCATTACGAAAGAATTAAATGTTTGTCTTGTGACTACATACTTGGTTTCTCCCACGTGTTTAGTCTTACGTAGTTTATTACTCCCGACAAACAGTTAACATCGGAAATTGAAATATATGTGTGTGTCTGGACTTAGCAATATTAAGAGGTTTGTCAGTTAATGCATCAGTAAACTCATATTCACTATGCCGAATATTCTCAGTCTCAGGTTTGTCATTTTTGTTTAATTCAATAAAACAACGTTTTATTTTTAATCATAATAAATAATTAAATATTTACATAATAAAAACTTTATTGAAGCCGTGCGGCTTCCACTTTAAAATATCGCTCTACAAGTACATGTTCCGACGTGATCTACGTCG